TAAAGGGCATCCAAACAAAAAAAGAAGAAGTCAAGTTGTCCTTGTCTGCAGATGGCATAACCTAAAATTCATGTGGGGATTCAAGAGACTCAGAATAGCCAAAAAAATGATTAAAATGACAAGAAACTTCAAGGATTCACCCTTCAATTTTAAAACTTTTAATAAAACTGTATAAATTAACCTTTTTAAAACAATGTACCACTGGTATAAGGCCAGACATACAGATTAATAGAGTTGAATTGAGAGCTCACAAACAAATTTTTACATTTGCAGTCAATTGATTTCTGACAAGGGTGCCAAGACAATTCAGCAGGGAAAAATACTTTTCCACAAATAATGGAGTGATAATGGGTTTTATGCCAACAGGTTACATGATAATACACCTGGAGGACCTCAAACCATTCTACACAAAAGATACCTGCACACATATGTTTGTTGCAGCTCTATTCACAATAGCAAAATCATGGAACCTGCCATGCTGCCCATCGAAGCTGGACTGGATCAAAAAATGTGGTACACATACACAGTGGAATATTATACAGCCATAAAGAAAAACAAACATATGGACTTTACAGCAACTTGGATGGATTTAGAGTCAATCATACTAGTGATCTATCACAGAAACAAAGAACAGAGTACCATATGTTCTCACTCCTAAGCAGACCTTGAACAATTATCATAAAATTGTAAGAAAAGGATTGGGGATGGTGGAAAACTGCCAGGGGAGGAAGACTGAGATTGGCAGTTGAGAGAGACTGCTAGGGGAGAGAGGGGCACACCTCATTAACCAGAGTACCTACATAATCAACATTTGTACACCTAACCCTGAATTGTGTCCCATATCTTTATAATATAAATAATAAATTTTAAAAAAAGAAACTAGTCTCCAACTCATTATCTCTGCAAATTGACTTTAGGTACCACTCATTTAAAGCTTCTCTCTTCCATCTAACTACTCCTTCCAACGACACACCACTGCACTTCTACACAAGACACTCAATCCATCTGAAAACCCTCCCCTGTTCCTCATTACAAATATTTGACGCCTATTTCAACCTGCAGGAAATGCAGGAAGCCATCCTAGGTCAAGTCATTCTTTTCCATTCTGCCGTACAGTGTGTAATGATAATGTTTCTTTTTATATTGTGGCACGATATTTTGCATTTTCTTTTTTCCTTTCTTTTTTTTTTTTTGAGTTGGAGTCTCACTCTGTCGCCCAGACTGGAGTGCAGTGGACGCTCCCGGCCACCGCAGCCTGGACCTGCTGGGCTCCGGCGATCCTTCCGCCTCAGCCTTCCGAGTAGCCGGAATTACAGGCGCACGCTACCACGCCCAGCTAATTTTTTGATTTATTGTAGAGACGAGGTCTCACCTGCCCAGGCGGGTCTCGAACCCACAGGCTCAGGCAATCCGCTCACCTCAGCCTCCCAAATGCGCAGAGTTACAGGCTGAGCCACCGAGCCCGGCTTATTTTGCATTTTCTAAATTGTTTGTAATTGTTTCCACTTCATCGGCAGTGTCTATTCTGTTCTTTTTCGGTATATCATTTATTATAAGAATTGGGTAACGTATTCTAACTACTTAACAATTTAATTTTATATTTTCCATGAGAAGTACTGCAGATTCATACACATAAGAAGAACTTAATGTTGCTCTCAAGCGATACCCTCTGACCATTTAAACATCCCTTGGAAACGCAAAAGTATTCAATGCACAAGCACTCACAAAATGCATAAACGCTCACATAACTGAACTGTTGCTTACATTTTTACCTGCTTAATTTTTATCAGGAAACAATCAATAAAGTCCTGAGGGTTATTAACGTCCAGAGATTCTTGGTGTTCTTTTACCTTTTTCAAAACATAACTTCTTATAGATTCCACATTTTTAAGAACTTTGTTATGAATCCCTGGCAAATAATCAATGACAGCAGGAAAAGTGTTGCAAATCTGAAGGAGAAAATAAGAATTTATTAATCAAAAAACATTTACTACAGTCATATATACCATTTATCAATCTATGGTTAGAAAATATAGCTATAAATATACATAAAATGTGGTATCTACCTGGGGGCAATTTTTATTGTGCACATGTAGTAATTCTCTATACCTGTAAAAAGATCTGAGGAAGAAAATTCTGACCAGAAAGTTAAAAATAACAATTTCCTAGACTTATATATCAATTCTCTCATATTTTGCACAAATTTTTCCCTGCAACCTTAAAATATAAGATGGCATGAATAACTGTAATTCACAGTTTCTAGATTTCAGCAGAGGTTAGGAGAGTTTAGGCCACCTGGTTGAGAGCACTAAGAAAGTCCTTGTTGCTTTTACTCCTATCAAACAGCCTCAGAAATAGAATCAGTATTTTAGAAGAGGGAAGGACTCAAAAATACCTTGAAACCTAACTATGAACCAGTGTAGTTAGGCGACACCTCTAGGATCCTACAATTACCAATTAGGCAGGAGTGTAGAACATACCAATTCAGTGCAGGGAAAAGCCGTGATGTTTGTTTATGGTTCAAATGCCATAAAACTAATAATTTTGTCATTACCAATCCAGTTATCTTGTCAACTAGAATACCAACTGAGGCATCAAACACCCCTGCCCTACTCAGTGTTTTCTGGAAGCTTCTATGGCCTCAAATATTCTCCTTCCTTGAAAGACATGGACTGTTCTTAAAATAGAATATTTTTGACAAGTAATATGACTAACAGGTCTCTAAGTGTCGATTGAAGAAAAAGTCCTGTGGGTAATAAAAGTCTTTGAAAGAGTTCTGGATGTCTATTGAATGATATGGGCATGTTTGGGGGCTGTCACCAATGTACTTTATAGAAACTAAGCTTTGGGATATAGTGGAAATATGTGCATGAAGCTTACAGATTTGAAAGCCAGCCCTATACTTGGACATTCATTTTCTGTGTGTAAAATAAAGGCACAATCATCCTTCTCAGATGTTCATTCCATGACTCTCTGGGTAAGAGTGTCATATTCAAACATACACTTCACAGCTTGGTTCATAAGAAGTTTTGGACTCGTGAGGGAGAGAGAGAGAATAAAGGATTTCTCAAGAAAAAAAAAAGAATTCTTAGCCTCATCTGCATCCATGGGGAGCTCAGAATCATGGTATTTTCATTAAATTTTTCTAACAAGTTAAGAAAATCTTCATCTTTATAATCAAAACGATTCTGGAAAATAATGGAGCAGATCACATTGCAGGGAGCACAGCCCAGTATAAATGTGGGATCACAAGGTGAGGCTAGAGAATGCAAAACATTTTAAATACCATTAGAGCATAGACATAGTACAATTTATCTTTACAAGTAAAGGCAGATTATAAATTTTTAAAAATATTTGATCTACAAATTCCCTAAACATCAAAAAAATTCAGCATGTATAAAATCAACAGTACATCACTTTTATATTAAAACTGAGTTGACCATTACAATCTAGCTGGTGGTCCAGATTTTTCTAATACTCAATTCATAATCATTGCCTTTATGTGTGCCTTTTTAGCCCAAGTTGTGTATTATTTTGGAAATTTTTAAAAATACATTTTTTAAAAGCCTAATGTATTCAAATTTTCAGAGCAGAATCACAGCTGTCTACAAAGCCTGTTGACAATAAACTACTGAGATTAAAAAAAGGGGGAGGAGAAAGTTGGGCACCTGAAAACTTTTTATATAAAATGAATAACTGAAATACATGTGTGTTGAACCAATGGAGAAGAATTAAATCACAGTGACCATGAGTGAATGTATGTATTTAAAGGAACAAATGTGAAAAGCAGAATGTACTCAAGTTATATGAGAATAAAAATTAATATAAATAAACAATAAGTATAAAATGGATTTGATTGTCACACAAAAACAAAATGAAAACTTTTCATTTGAAATACAAATTCCAGGCTAAGCAAACAAAAAGAGTAAGTTGATAAATGAAGGGTTTTTTAATTATCTTACTTCATTGTTTAACAAAAAGATATTTTTTTCTTCAAGAAATAAATGTCCTTCCTCTGCAATCGTCTTCCAAATTTAACATATTTGGGGAAAACTGATGTTTTTATGAATTCTGGAATATTGTACTGTATAGTCATCTATAGAATTATATGTTTCAACAGATTTTAAAATTTGACCATTAGTTAAGCCAAGTCAATCTTTTACATGTAAAGAAATTAAATGTTTTCTTCTATGTTGGAGGATCTCTAAAATGAAATTGTTGTAATGAAGTTATCAATAAAGTGTGTATGTTAAGAGCGTCCAAATTCATATCTATAGACCCTAAATACGAGTGACTTGAACTGAAAATGTCCTGAATAAATGATAAAATATTGAACAATAGAAAATCTGTTGAGTAAGCTGCTTCTGTGCTGGGCTCTTTAGAACATTACAAGG